TTTTTTTGATTGAAAGAAGGAATGGTGCAGTTGATGTTTAGCTTTCATTTAAAGTGACAAACTCTAAATTTAAGCTTATTTTGAGTTTAGTCCAGTCAAGTTTCCCCGAGCACCAAGCATGGGCACTAAATATAAAAATGGACTGAAGGCAAAAACGTACTGTGGCTATTATGCTGGGATGGTATAGGGGAGGATGCATATCTTTTCAAGATAGTTTGTTGTTGGTCTAATTTTGGTAATTATATACTACATATAATACAGGAAATGAAATTGTACAGTACATGGACGAAGACGTTAGATCTATATATAATTTCATCTGCTGTAAATAGCATGGAGAAGGGCTCCATAATGAGGAATGCGTCTGAGATTGGCCATGTCGGTTTTGATGCCATTGACTGTTGAAGTTATTTCCCTCACCTGCAAGGAGGCAGTAGGTTTCAATTTTCATCAGATGTAATAGCCCGCGGATTGTGAATAACATTTAAAATGGCAGCAAGGGAGCAAGAGTTCGGCTCGCTTTTTACGCGAAACCAGTCGCGAAAACCTCTCCTTCCATCCGTTTAAGTCGGGCACCGCCGAGAACTCTATATATATCTGATTCAGCCTCAAAGCCTCCGGACGATTCTTGCCATTGGACAATTATGTCCCACAAGACATAGGACGGTAAATGTCGGACCTTGACTGAATCGAAGCAATTTTCGTCGCATTGTGCAAGTTCTGGTGCGACCTCTTGGACGGACTTGTGGACATCAGTTGTTTCGGAAAAGGATAGCAAGTGCTTCAATTTTACTTTTGAATAGATCATTTCAAAGATTTTTGGCCTCGCGAATGGGGCGAGGCTGGGGATTGATTGGATCAAACTGGACATTGCGCGATCGGGAAACATTGGCCGCAGAATATCGCCAATAGATCTTTGATTGTGGGTTGTGATAGTGCCCATGAGGTGGCGGTAGGCTCGAATCATCAAATAGTATTTGTGGAGTGTTTTATTTTTGATGTGTTGCTGTTGGGTTTGGATGGGGGGTTGAATTTGGGGATTCGGCTGAAAATCGATGACCGAGCACATGCCGTTGGGCATAAATTCGTCGGAACCGACATCAAGCGGTTCATACGGACGTTTATCCCAGAGAAGAAGAGGTGTTTTAGTGCCGGACCGAATACCATCGAAACACATTCGTTCTTCCATAAGCGCATCGAAACGCGACAGTGCAACACTGTTGCGCGAGCTTAGCTGCTCCTCAACTTGCAACTTTTCCTCATGAATTTGCTTTGCATATTTCAATACATCGGCGAGGGTCGGCGATTTGGTCTTTAGCATCAAGGCTAGTTCAGCTTCTAGCTTCTCGATCTGTATTACTTTCGATTCCACTTTCCTAAACAATCCCTCATCTCGATTCTCGTGCACGAGACGCCTATGCAGGGCGACAACTTTACCATAACCTGATTTATCACCCATATCAGTACCATTAGCGTTTTTCAATGGTGGCCTTCCCCTTCGCGCACGTGTGCGAAGGTCCGGAAGATTGGGGTCTCGCATCAGTTCAATATACGTGTCATGCCATGGCCGTTTTGGTCGAGGTACATAAGATTCACGCTTTTCATACTTGCCAGCATCTGGGGCGAGCTCCGGAGGACTAATATCGCGCCCGGAAGGAGTAATGGTGCAATTCTCCTTGGATCGCTTTTCAACCAGCTTTCCACTTATATCCAACGTTGAGAGTCCCTTTTGTGAATGCCACAGTTCGCGCGCAGAATCGCCAGCGACCTCCGTTACATCTGCACAGGAAGCCTCTGCAATAGCAGCAGATCTTCTGCGTCTAGAGACTACCCTGGGCAGCAGTACCTCCGCATCATCGGATGACAGGAGCGCAATCATCCGTACTAACCCAAACCGATGAAACAATGTCTGATCAAAACACGCCTCAAGGTATCGCAATAGGAGAGTGTACCTTTGCCCATTTTGCGGTTTGACAGTCATATTAGCCAGCACTAGTAGGCTGTCGTTGGTAGCACATACACTGTCTTGAGACCAAACTGGTGGCCTTTTTGTTTGTTCTGGCAGATGTTCTTGCAGGAAAAGATCATCGTAGGTTTTAAGGTCGAACGGGTCCCAGGGTAAATGTTTATAACGCGAATTCGGATCTTCGGTCAACGGTTTTAGAAATGACTGGTAGTAATGAATGTTGGGTTCGATGAGAAGGTGACGTCGAGGTTTTAGATAGTCATGTAGTTTAGCCGAGAGAAGTCCAGCGCCGGGGAAGACGTCGATGATATCGCATGAGGACTGTTTTTTAAGAGATGGGCCGAGTCGTTGTAGAATATCATCTATGTACATGACACTGGCATTAGGTTCGGATGACGAAATATCGTAGGGCAGATGGAGCCATGTAAGGGCTGTTGGGAGGTATAGACTGGACATACCGCAAAGTAACGAGCTCGCAATATGAAATCTAGGTTGGTTGGAAGAAGGTGGACGTTTGCTCATGACAGTAGAAATTGCGGAAGAAAAGATATTGCAGGGAGGGAAAGGTGATTTCGGTATCACTAAAGCTGGAATTCCTGGCATTTGGCATGGTGGTGCAGCGCAAGTAGCAAGTATATCACCATAGTGGGAGGGATGAGACTTGTAGTGCGAGTCGATAAAATTATGAAGTAGTAAGGAGGATATACATATATAAATACATAAGCAATCAGGAATCAAATTGGGCCTGGATAAATAAATACAATAGTATCAGTGTAGGGGAGTGAAATTCCTAATCGTTGAGATCAACCAAAAAAGTTGAAGCTGAAGAAGTTTCTCGTTTGGGAAAATCCGGTCTTGGCATGCCGATGACAACCCCAAGATTTGCAATGGAGCTGTCTATTCATGTTCACCCCCTCCCTCCAGCATCAAGTCACGATGAACGACGGGGGCTACGGCAAGAATACAAAATTTCTGTATTGCGGACTATTTGGGGCCTAATGTGGATAAACGGAAATATGCCCTTGCGTTCTCTCTCATGCTTGGACCGCCGTACTCCCCACCCTTGGAGACTAGCCATCCCTCCCTCGCTTTGATAACTCCGTCGATGGACTACATGTCACTGGTTGCATGCTCTCTGACGCTTTTATTTGCGTGAATAATAAGGGACCCTCTTGCTATCCTCACCCTGTCAAAATTTTCAAGTGCATCAGAGCCAGGTCATGACAAATACCCCGCCAAACAACGCCCAAATGCAGCCGCCTTTGAATGTCGAGCAGATTGCTCGTCAAGCTAGCGAATTTGAGTTTGACCCTTTCTCTCCATTGCGGTACTGGATACGAGCAGCGGGTTTGCTTATTAAAGAGGTGCGCCTCTGTCTTCTGTCGAGCTTCTGCATTCCGCCACTTACTTATGTTTTATCTTCCAGGCCAGCATCTATGAACGTGAGGGGAACGATCAACAGGCATATCTTCTTCTCTTCAGACACGCGCAACTAGTACTCTCACACATTGCAACTCACCCCGATGCACGACAAGAGGATAATCGCAAAGCTGTTGCGGCAGCCAAAAGGGAAGTTCAGAGAAACCTGAGCAAGCTTGAGCTGCTGAAGCCCCGCATCAACAAGAGATATGAGCGTTACGTCCAGCTTCTCCGAGGAAGAGAGGCCAAAAAGACAACATCGCTATTGGGAAACGATGGCGTTGCGATTGCGAATGCTCCGGTTGATCCCGCATTAGCCGGTATAGCTGAGCCTTTGGAAGCCGCTCAGAATAAGGAATTGGCTGTGAAACTTGCCCAGAGGGAATTCAACCGAAGGGCAACAGCTCGAACGGCAACTCAAACTAGAGACCCGTATGCGAAAGATATATTGGAAACCTATGGAATCGAAGACTTCCATGAGAGCCATGATGATGAGCCGGCAGACGACCTTAGCCGACGCCTTCAGAATATTAGGTCCAAAGTCCCAAAAACCCAGCGGGTGGAGCGGAGATTGCCCTCAGCCCCCCATCGCCCCGTTTCAGAGTCTCAAGGCGACCTACAAACGGCTCCCATACCCCAGCGGCTTTCTGATATGGGAAAGCTATCTAGTTATAAATACCCCAATATACCTCGTCAACCGGCTTTTGATATCGGCCAGCAACCACCGCCCGTGCCTAGTAAGGAGCCTGCAACATCCAGCTCATCTCTTCCACCTCAACTCCCTGCCAAAGTTAAAGATTCTATTCCTTCACCTTCAGAGTCTGTTACCAGCTCTCCCCTTCCTGAAGCGATATGTCCCCCAATCCCAAAGAAAGGATTGCTTTCTTCTACCTCCGCAACAGATGGCAACGTAACCCCGCCGGCGGATCTCCAAAAATTTACATTCAAACCATCAGCATATCTTGAAAATGGCACCCCTCTCCGAACTATCTTCATATCTCCTGACCTCCGAAAACAATTTCTCTACATCGCTGCCTCAAATACCAAGTGCAATCTTGAAACCTGTGGCATCCTGTGTGGAACATTAATATCCAATGCCTTTTTCATTTCCAAACTTCTAATCCCCGAACAGGAGTCTACATCAGATACCTGCGAAATGGTCAACGAGGGAGCCATTTTCGACTACTGTGATTCCGAAGATTTAATGGTTCTTGGTTGGATACATACTCATCCATCGCAGACCTGCTTCATGAGCTCGCGTGATTTGCATACTCATTCCGGCTATCAAGTAATGTTAGCGGAAAGTATTGCGATTGTTTGTGCACCGAGCAAGGACCCTGACTGGGGCGTGTTTCGGCTCACGGACCCACCTGGTTTGAAATCCGTGCTTGCCTGTACGCAGTCGGGGCTTTTCCATCCGCACCCAGAGCCCAATATATATACTGATGCATTACGGCCCGGACATGTTTTTGAGGCTAAAGGTTTAGAGTTCGAGGTAGTGGATTTGCGTCGTTGAAAGGGAACTTGATTCTGATACCACTCTCTTTCCTTCCTCTCTTCTTTTAATCTTTTTTTCATTTTGGGGGCTTTTGATTTGGCAAGGAACCCTTTTCTTCAGCATCGATGTAGGCTGTGGCGCAGTGGTGTTGTATGTTTCGGGATTCAACGACATTGTACGAGTGTTTGTTTCTTCTAACATATGCATACTTCTTCTGAAGTAGACTTTAATCCCGGGCGGTGTACGGAGTGTATTAGACGGGGTGTTTTCTGTGCAGCCCCCTTCCTTTGTATCGCAGATATTGTCGGCTACAGTGGTGACATTCTTTTATTTTTTTTTTTTTTCCAGAATGCTATTTTCCAGTAGAATATTTTAAAATGGCTGCTTTTCTCTTCCATACTCTCTATACGCATGTCTACTTTGATGTCTGCGTTTACTTTTTCTTTGTTATCTTCTTAAGAATAAGTGTATGATCTAATCTCATCCATTATTTGATAATAATTTCCTGTTTCCACTGTAAAATTTGTCGATATAAATATCATATTATTTTCAAACATTGCTGAATATATTACCGTTTTCTAAGAATAAAACCCAGCAGACACCGAACATTGTGAAGTTGAATTTGTAAATTGGACTTCCACATGTATTGCTCGCATACTTGTAGGGAAAACATAATTTGAAGTCACGGTGTTGTTTTTGTTGTACGGGGTTGGATTTTAGCCGCTACCAATCCTTTAATCTAGGATTTATACACTGGAATGACTAGATGAAAGATTAATCGCCCAAATCGACGCAACAATGGCGGACAATTATAGAATATCCAATCTTACTGTGCGTTACTCGAATAGTCAAGTGTTGGCAAGTAGATCTAAGCAATCAGCACTGCAACTTGTTAGGCGACTGCAGGTGGTATATTTGTGTGGCTTCCCGTCACCAGTCGCGTTGCCACCCGTTTCATTGTTGTGTCTATCATTTCATTTTGTAACACAATTCATTCTTATGGTCCAGTCGCTGTATTCCGTGACAGGTAATAAATAAAAGGTCCACATTTCGGGAAAATGGTGGCACTTTCGCGCAAAAGCACATGGGTAAGTAACTTCAAGATAAGATCACCTTTACAGACTTTAAAATGGTGTCCACTGACGTTCCTGGTCCACCTGGAACAGTGTTTTCCCACACATCATGTGGGACTCTTTCAGATTCATTGATGATACTCCAATTAGGGCTCTGTTCCACTTTGATCCACTTGAAATCCTGCACCTGATCCCAGAGGTTTGGCTGGGTGCTATCTACGGATTTAGGGGCCTATGTGAGTTTGCATGATTAGTAAGGGTGAAATTTTAACGGTGGGATTCTATTTAGTACATTGGGGTGGGGTAGAGAACGGACGGAACGAAAGGCACGTGGAAGGCAGCATACATAAATTTCGGGAATTTTGCCAAATCGGATATTGCTGCAATCTTCAATGATTGGTCTGCTAGAACAGCTTAGGTAGACATCCACATCGACGCAATCGTGCATTCGGAATTGGTGGCAGGAAACCACTATAGTGCTGTGATTGACTCCAGTAATATGCGCCGAGCCATCCACTTGTCCGCAGAGGAGAAGGCTTTCGGTAACCTCCTTTATTACAAGGCCAGCAAATGGTCGCCAATCCGCCGTGGGAACTGTCATGTCCACAACGCACTGATGTAACGACGTTATCGATGCAGGCACAGTGGCATGTGATGCAGACGTCGGTAACACTATATGAACACCGGTATGGGAACTGACAGAAACGGACGAGGCCCCAGAGGCGGAGTTGCTGGGCTTATTGGTGTCACTCTTTTGTAATTCTTCGGGGGCCTCAAGAGGAGCTGAAGCTTCTTGTCGGGGAGAGGGCAGGCGATCATTCATGGAAGTTGAACATAATATCGGCGACGGGCTGGCAGACGACTGCATCGAGTTATCATTGGATCTGTAACCAGGAATGTGTCGACGACCCTGAGCTGCTATCTCAGCAGCATCTGCCAAGGATATCGCAGACGGGTTCTTGCGCGCGGTTTTGAAGGAAAACTTAGATCGTGGCGCAAAGCTTGCTCGTGCTTCTGCGAGCTTGTCTTGGAGAGCTTTGATCGCCTAAAAGGTGTAAGAATGGACCATAAAGCAAACTCAACAAGGGCATAGAAATTTCAACGAGTCGCACATGAAATTAAAATCACAGAAATCTGATGGCCGTGGTGACGTACGTTGGCATATATCCGCTGGTCATATGGGGGAATGGAGGCTGACGCATCCTTAACCTCACTTGATAGTCGAGCAATCCCAGCTAAGCAATGATCTATAGCATCCGTGCGCTCCCCTCCAATTAGCGCAGTGTCACCTAGACGGTCCATTTGCTCCTGAAGAGCTACAGATCCATATTTCCATTAGCGAAAGCGGCGTATACGGTGATGACTGGATGAGGCCAGATCCCACCTGTAATCTCATGTTGAAAGTAGCGGAAAAAGCGGTCTTTCAACGATATCTCAGGTTTGTGCTGCGAAATGGCCTCGTTTTGCATTTGATTTGCGCTGGAGGGAGCTGATGAAGGCATTTTGTGTCCTTGCGAAGAACGGCCTTTTCCGAGGAGGGGTGAGGTTGAGAGGGTTGGTATACGATATATATAGTAAAGTTAGGGTTGAATATTCCTGTCAATAGCATTAAATCGATGGATCCCGACTGCGTATAGGGGGAGCTGGCAGCGAGGAGTTATTGGGGGCATATCATTGTCATCTCCGAACTGCTGCAAACCCGCACGGAGAGATACCTCGGCAAGTTGGGAATATCCTAGCTTCGGCGATGATTGCAAGGGGTCTAGGTAATCCCACGGAGGGCCACCTAATCCAACGGCCCTGAAGGAACGTTGAGTTATGATACAAGGCTATCCGGCGAACAGCACGACGAATTGTTCTGTCCCTTGCTTGCCTTCAAGCGATACGAAGAGATGCGGGGACGTTGCCGCACGTGACATTCCGCTTCTTACTTTGGTACCTGAACTTCCAAGGTTCCATTCCGAGCCGTTCGCCTTTCCCTCCTCTGCTTCTTTCTCGAAAACATACGATGCAGATTGCAGAATCACAGCGTGGGTGGGATCTACCATCAAGGACCCTGGGACCCGGAAACTAACCTAGACTGCCTCAATTCCAACGTGTTATTCACGCATGTTTTTGGCAAGGAAATCGCCAACCCTCGTGATCAGTTGATTTTGTGATACGTCACGATGAGATCTAGATCTCTGTCGAATGTTTCTCATATATAGTCTATCCGCCTAACTGCTGTTGAACCAGTGAGACCTGCGTTACTGTTGGAATTTGTTTCTGATTGTCGAAATTTGATATCTTCTGGCCTCGCAGGAAGACAAGTATGTCACGCTGTTTGCCGTTAAAGGCAGGAGGCAAAGTTTCTTCAACCTCGGTCCCTTGATTCATACACAGCATTAGAACGGTTGGGCCAGCTTTATTCGCTATGAAAATGGTCGATGTGCGGGTCATTGAGTGGTGGACTGAATTTCCAGACAACCCACCCAAGCTTCTCGATCTACCATCAACCTGCTTTCAACCGATCAAACTAACCATGGAAACGAAACGCAGTGCTGTATACCAGAGCTTCCAAATTCCAAATAATCGAAATGAGTTTCTCAAGGACGTTTCTACTGGGCACACTGTCAGATTCCTTGGTGGCGGGCCTGGATGCGCGCCTCACTGCTCTCCATTGTTAACTGTGGCATTCCTTTGCTGTCACACTTACCTTCTAGATATTAACCAGCGTTATGTCTTTTGCCTCACTGTACGACGCTTATGTTCGCCGTTACACGCTCCTTCAACCCGTCTCTGGGTTATTCACCCGCCAAGAATTCCTTGTTTAAACTACATGCGGAAAGTGATATTCCTAGTTCTGATACGCTAGTTCACTCTGCATCATTTTTCAGGTTAATAATGCCCCTGACACCTTCTCGCATCCTTTAAAATGGTCTGGACATCCCCCCCCGAAGTTCGAGAGCTGCGCCAAGTTTATGTGACTTCTTTTCCGAACGAACATATTTTTTTTAGAACTCTCCCATCCATCAGTCTGTCATTTCCGAATGTGCGCTTCTCTATTGGGCTTCATTGGAGCCTGCGCGCTTATTTTGCCAGCTCTCACATTCCCAGGTCCTTCGTCTACTTGGTGCGATATAGTAGAACAGCTTCATTCAGTTCCTCCAGGGTGGACGCAGCAAGAAGCACCTCCCCCTGATACCCTTATACAATTTCGCCTTGCTGTTAGGCAAGAAAATGGATGGCTGTTTGAGCAAGCAGTTCTTGATCTCTCTACACCCGGACACCCGAATTATGGTCAATATATGAAGCGAGATCAGGTGCAGCAATTCTTAAAACCATTACCGCATGTCTCAGAATCAATTTTGTTATGGTTGCAACAAGGAGGTGTTCCCAAGACGGCCATTACGGACCATGGCGATTGGGTTAACTTCAAAATTTCTGTCGCGCAAGCAGAAAGTTTGCTTCGGACGAAATTTTACTATTTCTCGAACTTGGTTCGCAATGTTCGGATAATTCGAACTCTGGAATACTGTGTTCCCCCTGAAATTTCTCCCTACGTCCATATGATCCAGCCAACAACGAGATTTGGCCAACCCAAACCTGATTCTGCTGGTAATGGTGCTATTCAACTCCTGGGGCTTAATGATTCTTGTTATCCAGTCAATTGTAGCCTTGCTATTGCGCCATCATGTATTCGGGAAATATATAACATGGGAAATGTCACTGCTACCCCAGACCCTCGCAATAAGCTTGGAGTGTCAGGCTACCTTGAGCAATACGCAAGATATAGTGATTTGGATCTTTTCTTTCAAAAGTTCGTCCCGGAGCTAAAAGGGTCCACCTTCCATGTGGTTTCCATTAACGGGGGATTGAACCATCAGAACTCGAGCAAGTCATCTATGGAAGCCAGTCTGGATGTCCAGTATACACTTGGCCTTTCCAACGCAACCACGGTATATTACACCACCGGTGGGCTCGGTCCAATGATTCCCGACCTGGATCTTCCTGATACAAGCGCCAATACCAATGAACCCTACTTGGACCAATTGCATTATTTACTCTCTCTTCCAGATGAGGAGTTACCAGCCGTTCTTACCACTTCATACGGTGAAAATGAACGAAGCGTACCAGAGAAATACGCAAATTCGACATGCAATTTGTTCGCTCAGCTAGGTGCACGAGGGGTATCAGTGTTATTCTCCAGTGGAGACTCTGGCCCGGGAAGTGCTTGTCAAACTAACGATGGAACAAACACAACCCGATTCGACCCCATTTTTCCAGCTGTCTGTCCTTTCCTAACATCTGTTGGTGGAACACAAGGCGTAAACCCGGAGACTGCAGCGTACTTTTCATCGGGAGGATTTTCTGATCGATATCCCCGCCCGGCGTACCAAGACGAAGCTGTTTCGACATACTTAGGTCAACTAGGCAGTCGATGGGCTGGTCTCTATAACCCAGCAGGTCGTGGTTTTCCGGATGTGGCAGCACAGTCCGCACAATTTCACATTGTTGATCATGGGGAACCCACTTACGCATCAGGAACGAGGTTCGTGAATTCATGTACTGGCATAAAACTTCTCATATTCCTTGTACCCTTCTTTCGACTTTCAATATCTACCCCTCTTCCCTTCCCAGCCCCCAAACTCTTTCCAAAAACCAACTTTGCAAAAACAAGTATTTCTGACCATTCACACAGCGCCTCTGCACCAGTATTCGCAGCAGTTGTAGCCATTCTCAACTCTATCCGCCTTGCTGAAGGGAAGCCTGTCCTTGGATTTCTCAATCCGCTCCTCTACAGTCTTAAGGGTGCAGGTTTGAATGACATTGTCGATGGCTATTCGGAGGGATGTACCGGCTTTTCCAGGGCTTCAAGTTTAGCTACGCCGTATATCCCCAGAGCTGGGTGGAATGCGACGGTTGGATGGGACCCTGTGACGGGATTGGGTACGCCAAATTTTGCGGTGCTTGCACAAATAGTGAAGGCTTTATGAGAAAGGTTTAAACTCTCTCTCTCTCCCTCTCTCTC